CCCCCCCCCCCCCCCTGTGTTCTTCGAGTCCAAAGCGCCCGTTCGTTTCGATGAACGGGCTGCAGGCAACCTGAGGTAAGTCTTTCTTTTCTTTTCTTTTCTTTCCTTTTTGTTGTTTTGTTTTTCTTAGTTATTGTTAATTTTTTTTTAGGTTTTTTTTCTTTTTTTTTCTGCGAGATACTCCCCCCCCCTATTGGCCGGGTTGTAGTTGCTACGCCCGTTCTTTTTAAGAAACGGGCTGCATCGCTCACGGCGCGCCCGGACCTGGCGCAGTTTGCATCCAGGTACGCACGCGCGGGGCAGGGGGAAAAGTAGACCCTATTGAGCTTGACTCTAGTTCCTCTCTGTGAAATGACTAAGCTTGGAGGGGTGGCCATTCATTTCGAACGGCGGGTTGCCCCTCACAGAGAAACGAGGGGCCTGAAGGAGGGTTAGAAGGAAAAGGGGGGGGGAAATGAAAAGAAAAAAGAAAAGAAAGGGAAAAAAAAAAAAAAAACGCCACGTACGTGGCCGCGGCGGAACAGGTGCAGCCCCAGAAGTTTCTAGGGGCTGATGGGACTGCGCCTGTTCATTTTGAGCAGGCAGCAGTAAAATGGCCGAGTTCAGCCATTTCCAGGAGCTTCTGGCCTATGAAAACGGCCAAATACTTCTGGGGGTTGATGACCTTGGGCCCCCTAGGGAAAAAACAAGGCACCGGGCTCCTGGCCGTTGATTTAGATCAAGGGCCAGAAGCACTGGCGAATTTTGCCTGGCAGTGGGCGAATTTTGCCTGGCAGTGGGCAAAGTAGCTGCCCACATGCCTTCAACTGGCTATAAAAGCCAGCACTCCACCCAACGGCCTCATACTTGTGGCAGTGCTGCTGGGACATTCACTTGGGTGAATGCTGGCTAGCTGCTGCATGCTGTTGGAGAGGAGATGTTGTTGCTGGAATGAAGGTCTGCAGGATGAGGGGAGATGATGCTGGAGGAGGAGAGGAGAGGCAGCCATAGGCAAGGGCTGGAGGAGGAGAGGAGAGGCAGCCATAGGCAAGGGCTGGAGGCTCTCTGTCCCACCCATGTGCGTGTGCTGTGTGTGTGGGCTGGTGATGCAGCGGTAAGGGTGCGTCGGGATCTGGACGGTGCGGCAAGTGGCACCTATTTTAGTGGGGTTGTGCTGCCGAAATGCCGCCGCGGCGTCAAGACCGTCTTAAAGGGAGATGCTGCCGGACTTCCGCCGCAGCGTCAAGACCTTCCTAAGGGAAGGTGCTGCGCGGCACCAATGGTTTTTTTAATGTGAGTGTGGGGAGGTGCTGCTCCATCAACGGTGCGACAACGACAATGTATTCGGTGGGATTATGTTGTCCAGATGATGGCTCATCGTCGACAATATTGTGAGGGAAATTGCTGCGGGTCTTTTGCGTCACAGTGAAGGCGGTTTTCTTGTGTGTGATCTCGCGGTGGTGCTGCGGCGCAGCCATATTACCGGCTTTGACGGCACGGCAAGTAGTGGCCCGCCGTTTTTTTTTTTTGTGGTACGCGGCAGTTATGGTGGATCCGAGTATGGCCTAGAGGTTGAGCTGGCGTTGGTGCACGATGGTTTGTGCGGTAGCGGTGCGAGGACCGATGGGGTGAAGATGCCACGGAGTGAGAGCTCGCGACAGTGGCTATTGGAGTTGCCGCACTTGCGGTTTTTGCCTGAAGGACATCTTTATTTTTTTTTAGGCTCACGGCACATGCGGTTTTCAGCTAGGGCCACCTTTATTTTTTTGCGGTGCGCGGTGCAAGCGGTTTTTGAGTTCTGAACTATCAGGTGTTGCGGGTGATGGTGTGGGACTACCCAGGACCACTTGGGACCATCTGGGACCATCTTGGGACTATCTTGGGACTGAGTGAGGCCAACTTGGGGTGCAGACGCAGTGATTGGAGGTGGCATGGACTTGCGTTTGGTTGGGGAGTGTCCTTGGAGGACAAGCTGCAGCAGGGACTGCGTTGAGACTGTTCGAGATGTTGAGGCGGCATGAGATTGGATCATGGGAGCACCCTCTTTGAGGGTTATCTCATTCAGACATCTCAATGGACCCGACTCTTGCTCACTTGGGCACTTGGTGGAGGACTCGGACCGTGACTCAGGAGAAAGGCCACAACTTGTGGAGTTGTGAGCCGTATATTTCATGTTCAACGATCGTTATTTTCTTTTGATTGGCATATTACTCAACTTTCTTGAGTGAGTCGATTCACTTCTCTTCACACATGTGTGAACCCACACTTTGCTTGACCCTGTTGTTTTGGATGTTCAAAAGAAAAGGCGCGAGTCATGCGTGCGAATGAAAAAGTCTGACTTGAGTATGGGATTGCACTGATTTTGTCTTGAACTTGTTGTCTTTGCATGTTGTGCAGGTAGGTAGAAGGATGCTTGCAAAGGAGCTTGATTAATGCCTATTTGGGGAAGATGAAAAAAAATTATTTCTACCTTTTACCTGCCTGCTTGTCAAAAAGACTTGTTATTTTGAAAAAGATTGTGTCATAGAATGAATTCGCTTGAAATAAAGGAGACGAGGTCAAACGGACTTAGTCTTCTTCCAAGGAATGACCCTTTGTATCCCGAATGACCTTATCTACATATACCTGTCCAAACGGTTTTCATTCTCTCTCTTCTGATTCTTTTCGTCCAAGTTACCCTAAACTTAGGAGAAATCAGAATAACTACAACCTTTCTGCGATGAACACATTCTTTGTCTCTAGAAAGCATCTAGGGCGGGGGTTCGTTGCTTTAGGAGCCGACCCTGTTATCGACTCAGAGTGGACCGCTCTACGGGGGGGTACTTTGTCGATTCGGTGGAGACGGCCCGACTTCTGATATCCGGG